AGCCTCTGCAGCAATGGCCAAGGCAATGAGCTTCCAGCTTGACTAAAAGCTCTGGATAAGATCCACATTCAGCTAACTTCTGTAGACATGTGATTTAATTTCCTGAGCTTTTGTCCTCTGCTATGACTTCAGGGTGGACAACACAAGGGCATCACTTCATAAAGATGTGTAGCTTGCAGGAATCTCTGTCTGGAGGAAAGAGCATCTCTAATGTGAAGAGCTGAGTTTTCTGTTTCTTAGTAATTGAGCTAAATTTAGGTAGCAAATAATTGAGAAGGAGATGAAACAGGAGTAAAAATATAATTTACCACAATATCTCTCACAGCCAGCTGCCAAGGAAATGACTTCTATCTTGCTGCATTTTAAAATAGTGGGTCATCTGGCTAAGTTGTTCGGCTAGGTTAAAATAAATAAATAAATGAATAAATGAAAATCATCTAAATCATCTCAATATATAACTAGATCGTAAATTTTCTGAAGTGATGTGTTATATCTTTCTGTAAACCTTTTCCTTATGACACTGAATAATGACACTAAATAATTGTATGTCTCCTCTACTTATACTACTGAGGCCTTCAATTATATTCTTTTTCATTTGGAAAATTGAAATATTTTGTTAGCCAAAGCTCTAAAAGAAAGGTAAGTTATATCCACTATGTGGTTGAATTATGGTATCCAGTAAATAACTGGCCTCTTAGCTCCTCATTCAGTGTCCCTCCACACTGGAGCCTTCACTTGTTCAAGGCCAGACTGACTTCAATATACCTACATTGATTTATATCACATAAGAATTTGGCTCCACCTGCTAATAATTATTGATTCCTTTTGGTGAAAAAAATATGTAAAAAATATGTAAAATTCTGTCTGTCCCATATGATGTGGGGCAGACAGACGGAGTAGGACAAAGGGCATGTGATGATTACGGTATACTCTAGATGGTGGCATGTAGGACAGTTAATGGTCGTGAACTCAGAACCAAGTTCAGATCTGTAGAAATGTGCCTGTGATGTCTTACAGTCTTACTCCTCTGTATTTCACCGGGATGTGTTTTTTGCTTGTTTGTTTGTTTTTAAGTGGGGGTTTGGTGGGTTTTGTTTTCTGTTTGTTTTTGTTTTTCACTGACTGAATTGCTTGCAAAGCTACATACACAGATAAACATGACAAATATATATATATATATATATATATATATATATATATATATATATTTAAATACCATCATACCATGATTGGTTTGTGGTATTTACACCACAACAACAGTTTAGAACAGTTTACAACACTAGCTCCAGAGAGCAATGCTGGAATGCCTTTTGGAGGCTGTGCATGGGTATCTGGAGCTGTTTTATAGTTATTTCTCATACACACTTCATTTCAAACAAAGTGATAAGGCTTGACAGGGTAATATCTGTTTTGAATGTGCCACCATCATGGTAGTCCTCCCCAGGAAGTATATATGATATGTAGGACATTTATAGGTAGAGATACGACATGTGGTCTACCCAAAATCTGGTAGAAAGATGGCAGTTTCAGCTGTACCTGACTTCACCTGTACCTGTCTTCACTTTAGCACTGTAAAACCATATTTTCCATTAAAATCTTTCAAGCCTGTGAATACAAGGAGATCTCATAGTACCAGATGATCATAATGAACACAAGAAGCTGTGCTATCACCTGTGATTTGATATAAATGTAGCACAAACTGTTATGTAGATTCTATTATAGTCTTTCCAGATTATGGGCTGTGAAATTGCTATCTCATAAGCAATGCTGGAGAAAGGATAAAAAAGACAGAATTTAAAACAGACAATTTGGTTCTGTCCCAAAACACAGAATTGCTGATAGGAAACAATAACTGTTGCTAAAAATGCTACTGGAATGAGAACTGTAGCATTTCCTCTGCAGGAAATGATTTTAGGAGAAGAAAATACCTAAGCAAATGGCAAAATGGCAAAACCCCAAAGCCTGTAAAAACGTTGTTTCTGACAAGGAAACATCACATAATCAAGAAAGACAGTGCTTCCACAGTTACTAATTAAGCAGGGTTGTACATTCACATCTAATGAAGGTGCAGACCTGAATTTGCTCTTTTTGAAACAAAAATTTTGAAAACGGAATTTGTGTGGTCTTTCTTACTTTTTACCTATTTTTTCATTGCCTTTCTCAGTCTTTCTCCCAAGTCACAAACCTGTCACATCCAGAATAGATTCTGATACACTTAAATGTGGTTAGTTAATTTTGTCACTTAAACAGTAATTCCAATATTCACAAAAAGCACTGAAGAAATTCTGCTTCTCCCATTCAGTTGTTTCCATCCCTTAAAACTTTAAAAAAAAAGTGAGTCACACTCATTATTCTCTAGGAATCAGATGATTAAATAATAATAAACGTGCTTTAGGGATTTTTATTTATTTATTTGTTTTCTGGTTTCACTTCACATGTGAAGTCTTTTCTTCACCATAACAAAAGCTAAATACTTCCTATAAAATTGAAAGGTAGGATCTGCTGTAAGATCCTGATTCCAGGAAGTGGGACTGTGACAACTACCTCAGAGCTGCAACATTATAATAAAATCACAAGTGTTGGAAACACTGCAATTTCTCAATAAGGATTTTGTGTGTGTGTGTATAATGATATTCTTACTTTTCTCAGTGCAGGGCTCAGAACATGGAAGAGAGGACATCAGAAAGAGATTTCTTCTTGAGCCTGAGAAAGGCATACAGATCCCTTTCAAACCCCATCCCTGCCCTCTTGTTCCTAGGCTCACAGGTGACAAGAGCTTTCCCTGGGGGTGCCTCCTGCCCAAGGGTGATGGAGGTGAAGACTATGGGGAGTAGGAAGGAGGATTCCCCTTTGGAATGTAAGGAGAAGTAAGTCCCAGATTTCTCATGCCTGGAGGAAGGACACAAGAAGAGATGAACAACTGCAGGTGAATTTGCTGTGACTTACCCAGCCCAGTATAGTGGCAACGCTCACATGCCTCATACTTCAGAACTACACAGAAACCTTTAACCATGTCTGAATACAACTCATAGAGAAAGATCTTATTCTGCTGGCATTTCATGTGATCCAGCAGGCTGATTCAGTAAGAATGATGCATTTTAAAACCTACATTAAGGATTCAGGAAGATGTTTTTCCTCTTCTTAAAGGAATGAGATGGGTAATTCATGGCTTAACTGTTAAATAAACAAATAAACAAACAAAAATAAATCTATGTATTTATAGATCTATGTATGTATGTATCTATCCATTTATCTTTATAAAAAAGTATGATGAAACCAACGTATGCATTTTTATATATATTTTTTTAACAAAACAGCAAAGCTGACAGCATATATTTTTATAATTTTTGGATTTTCTGTTCTTAGCAACAGTGGTCTAAAAATAACTTAGCACAATTGATCAGTGCTAATGTTGTAATTACAGAGGCGATTTATTTAGTAATAAGTACAAAAAAAATAGACAGCTACTTGCAATTTCACTCCCTACCCATCTCCTCATTTTTGCTAGAATGCATTATCTGATGGCCTTATTTGCATTGAATAGTAAAGTTTTTGTTGAGATTTTGTAATTTCTTCTCAGTAATACAGGACAGATTTTGTGTTCTTCAAAAGTATTCATTTTTTTTTTTTTTTAGCTAGAAGGCTGGATTATACGCAGTGTCTTCTATGACTGTACTACAACATTCTCTAGGTTAATTCTGTCTACCAAAAATGTGCATATCTACATTAAAACACTTTTTGAGTGTGTGCTTTTGTTGTTTGTTTGTTTTTTACAGGATTTTTTTTTTCATAATATTGTAGCTAAGCAGAATCACAAATTCCTTTTTAGCATTGACATAAAAGTAGACAAAATGAAAACCAGTATGGTTTCTTTGACAGTACTCTGGCTTTCTAGTGATACTACAGTGAATGTTCTGTAAATAAATAAATAATGAAACTCAAAAAAATAATCCAGTAGCCTAAATCTCTGCCTTAATCAAAGACGACGACTGGATATTGAAGTGAAGAATATATTCACCTAAGACTTTAGCAACAGGAGACTATATTTTTCTGTGTGTGAATTTGGGAAACTGTTTTATCCCTTTTAGAATGAGAGCTGGAATGTAGGGGAAGAAGACAAGGATGAGAGGACTTCTAATCTTTTCTATAGGAATCATTTAATCTAATTTCAAAATGACATTTTCATTTTATAATCATTTTAATATCATGTTTTAGGGACTGAAGTGATCATGATCTGATAGAGTTCATGATTCAGGTGAAAGGGTTCTATCTTCATGATACCTTTTCTGAACTTTTCAATGAATGAATAAATAAATAAATAAATGAAACACTTCAGGGAGACATGAGAAGCTGACCAATCAGCCTAAAAATAGTCTGTTGCTCACTAATATCTATCCAGAAGTAAATTAAAGGGTTTTTATTAATTAATTATTAAAAAATAAACAAATCATATTCCTACACAAATTTGTTTATGCTCTGTTCTGGAAGTAAAAGATGTGCAGGTAGGCTATTTGCTCAAGTGGCCTGTGATCTGTTCCCCACTGGCTGGAAATCAGGATGGGGATGCTTCTGCCCCCATCCCTCCCAGTATAAGGTGCAATTTATGCACACAGAATCTCCATAAAAATTCAGATATCATTCCTTCCCAGATCCACTTTTTACTCTACTCTATTCTTGGTATTTTAACAAACTTCCAAATTAAGTGTCAATATATTGAATTTCCCAATTAAGAACAAAAACAAACAAACAAACAAACAAAAGAGATCAATCACTTAAGGCGAGATCACGTAGTCCAGAGAATCACAGCAACATTTTACCTTCATCTGATCCCTGGAGAGTTGGGGCAGCTGCAAGATGTGAAATGCTTTTAACTTTCGAGGAATTCACAACTGTCCTTGATGCACTAATAGCAGGGGAGCAGGTGGCAATGCAATTGCCTTGAATGGTTTTATAAGGCATGCCTGTGTGACTGGTTCATGATCCTAATTCTGTAGGTCAGGATCAAGGAGGAAGAGTGGCTTCTTTCCATCACCACCAGGCTGTCATCATGTTATAAACTAAGTGGTGGAAGGAGGTCAACAGCTAATAAATCTTATGAGCAGACTCACTACTTTCAGACAGCAGTCCCTTTAGAGATTGCTGCTGTCATTTTCCTTTTTCTTCTCCCCTATCCTCCCCTACCCCAGTGAACCTTTACATCCTCAGAAGTGTTTGGCTTTTGCTGGCCTCTGGCAAAAGGAAGATGCTAGGTTTTGAGTAGGGAGCTTCTGCAGTTGCCAGTTAGTCTTTGAGAGACTAAAAGATATCAGAGAAAATTCATTGCCAGATTTTCTTAAGGGCTCTGAGATAAAGCTTCAGATTAAAGACAGGACTGTGCAATTATATGATCTTTTTGAAGAGAATTTTTCTCTTTGATTAAATTACTGAAAGGTTATTACATTAAGAAAATGGTGCCATTTAGCTGTCCTCTCTAAAGGTGCTTTAGATCTAGTTGTGAAAGAGCTGTATTACAGAGTCTATTACTGTATTGATGGATGTGTTCGCAGTGTCAAGTTCACTAGTAACTCTGCTGAGACTCAGCTGAGAAGCAGCCTAGAGACCATCACTTTATGTATTTTATTGATTCCCCTCTTGTGCAAAAATGATCAGGAAAGTGCTAGTAAGAGATTGTACAGAGGACAATTAGCACAAAGGTATTTGTGGAATCTTAATCATATACTGTTAACGTCTTTATGTATTTAGTAGTAGTTCAATATGTTTTATTGTTGCTTAGATTTCATACTTTTTTACTGAAGTATTTCCCTTTCACTTTGCTATTTGTACTGCAGAGGAAGTGTTAGGCTGCTTCTTGTTCCAGAACAAAGAGCCCCTAAGACAGCTGGTTTGAGTGGTGACAGCCAAAGAACCACTGTTTTCCACAGAAACATATGTAGCTAAGTGACATCTATCTACTATAGAAACTGTACTGCTGCCTTCCAGAGACTCGTGATGACAGAACATGACAAGATTTCTACACTTCAGACAGTGTCCCAGAAGAAACAGGTATATGAAAAGGCTTGAAAAGAGATTACTGCATCTGCTAGGACAGAGTACTGTACTTCACACAAAGACCAAAGGATGGCTGAAGAAGCCATGCTTATTATTGAGCAGGATGTACTGAACTAATACTATAAGTTGTAGTTCTCTAAATCACTTGTTTTCCTATATTTTCTATTATTTCTGTAGTACAGAGCCTCTACAATGTGTTGCAGCTTGAAAATCACTAATACTATATCTGCTTTCTCAATTAACATATATCTGAGACAAAGGTAAAAATTTCTCAAAAACAACCTCAGGTGGCATCATGTAACAGCCTTATGTGGCATCATGCAGACTGAGAGCAAGGAGGTGAAGAGTACTCTGTGTTACTGTTCACCCCAGCACAACTGGTCTCAGAAAGAATTGCATTTCTGACAATGGTAGGTTGACAAAAGCACCAAAGATGCTCTTGTGGTTTGATCTCATGTCTATGAAACAAACAAACACAAACAGACAAAAAAAAAAAAAAACAAAAAAAAAAAAAAAAAAACACAGGCAACCAAACACAAATAATGCAGGGAAAGGTTAACATTTATTCCATCCACCTTTCTAATGGAAAAGAAAACATTCTATTCTCAGTCTCATGTCATATACTCTTTTGATTCATTTCTTGAAAATGCATAAACTTTAGAAAGTATTTAAATACAACTCTCATCTAGAATAATTTCTTAAGAACTCCTCCAGTTTACCATCACAGAGGAAAAATGTCTGTGCTCAGTGGCCCACTAAGACCCTCAAAATTAACCCCTTTGCAGTCTACATGCTATAGTAAGAGGAATAGCCTTCAGGGCACTCAGCATTTCAGCTGCTAAAAGAATTGAAATGCATCAAGACTGTAAATATGGAAGGCAAGGAGCTGCAGTGGTTTCATTGTTTCCTGCTGTCCTGGCAAGAGACAAGGTGTTCACCGGTACTGAAGAAGTGCAGACCTAGCTGTTTCAAGGGTAATTTCTGCCTGGGCAGGTTTGTCCACAATAATTTCAGCTGTAGAGATCAGCTGATCAAAATATTAACGCAGAAAAGTAAAGGCACCTTTATGAGGAATATCTGGTCCTATCTTAGTATTTGCTCAGGAAGTGCAAGGAGTTGCAAGAAGGCAACAAAAGGACTGCATAGAAGTAGCAACTGGAATCTGGGAGTGTGTGAGGCTGTGTGCCTCCTTTCTATGGGTCCTCTCTTCCCCAGCTAACCATCCAGAAGGCAGCAGCTAGTGGATGTTCTGTCAGGATGTTCTGTCATATTTTGTCGTTGGTATCTGACATATTTCCACAGGACTTTGGAAGGTGGAAGAAGTAAGAATGAAGAAGGTGAACCAGAAAGACCTTCAGCATCTGCAGGTCAAGGCAAGATGCCAAATGGCTCAGCTGGGGACATATCCAGGCACTCGTACACTTCTAGTACAGCTCAAACAAAGCCTGAGGATCTGGAATTTTGTGCAAACATGCAAGGGATGTATGGGCAAGGGTCTCAGATGAGGGACAATCAGGTCCCTCATCTGAGGGCTGTTGCCTTCTGGGTGTCTAATGTACAGTATGCTTTGCCACCTCAGCTTTCAGAACTGTCAGTGACTCATTCAGTGAGTGATGGATTAGAGCCAATATTACCAATTCCTTTGCGTAACAAAACAGAAGTAACATTTTTGTTTTCTAGGAATACTTTCTGTGTCTTATGTCATTCTCTAATGAAACTTCAAGAACCTAAATTTAAATATTAAGAAATGTTATGTTAACTGTCCATATACCCTGTACAGTCTGGATTATGTATAATTCCTTGTTTAAGATTTTGGCAATTTTTCCACTAAATACCTGGCTCCTAGCTGAAATCTGCTATAGCTTTGAAAAGACAATGAAGCTAACTGAAACTGTAACTTCAGAGGCTCTAAGCAGAACCCGGTGCAGTGACTACTGCAGAGGAAAAGCAAGCAATGACAACAGCAACTATCAATAATGACCATCTCAGGGACTCCAAAATGAGTGCCCGCTGCTTAAATAGGGCAGTCACTGGCCTGAGACAAGGATTAGTTAAGCTTTATAGAGAAGGTAAGATTGACTGCAGGTGTTTGCAGCCACCTTGACTGTTTCAGTCCTTGTGCTCATTACAACCCCATTGCTCTCAGCATCTCCAGGCTGCAACAATAACAGACTTTCTCTGACTCTGCAAGTCTGTGTCTGTGTTGCTTGCACAAACCCCTGCTTTGGTGTGAAGTCAGACCTGTGAGAATATATCTGGTATATTTCTGAATTCATGAACATAACCGCACTTACTGTTGAGTTGAATGTACAAGTGATCCCTGTACTTGCATGCCATGTAGATACAGACTAATCGTAGATAACACAGTGGCATGTGGGCATAAGGTAGGTACTGTGGCTCTCATAAATCATCCAAGTGCTCTTGGATAATATGTGTTTTTATGTTATTTGGTACCATATATGACTAAATACATACAATAAAAAAATCATCCACTAAATGAAAATTGACTACAGAGCCAGTTGAAATAATCTTCAGTATATTTTTTTCTCCTCCCTCCTTCCCTTCCTCCCTTCCTCCCTTCCTTCCATCCTTGTGTGTTCTTTAAAATGTTCCTGTAGCACAGCCCAGACCTGGGAGGGATGTGATGTATATGACAAGTAGCTCGTTGTGAACGATGGGTCAGGTAGAATTGAGAGCTCTGATTCCATTACCTTTCAGGGTCACTGAGCTACAGGTTTTGTGGAAAACCCTGCACATCATACCACTGGAATTATAATTTGAATGAATAAAGGTGGAAAAGGTATATACAAAGCAAACAGATAGAGTGTCTAAGTAATATCTTTCTTACTGAACTAAACAAAAAAAAAGAGAAAAAAAAAAAATTAAGAGTCACACTCTGGAAACTGTTTTACCACTAAAAGCATATGGTTCATCGTATGTATGTTGGCTGAGGCATCAGAGACAAGCCTGTAGAGAGGAGGGAGAGCAAACTACAACCAGTACAAGGAGCATCCACATTTTTACCATGAATTACGTGTTTTATGGCCCTCAGAAAACACTGAACTTCTCCAAGACTCACGATTTCAGGTTCCCACCCCAAATTGCAGGCTAAGGAACAGACAGTCAAACCTGAGCAGGGGAAAATGTTAACCAGAACATATTGACTCTGAAACTCCTTAGCTATGAACAGGAACATGCATGGTTTGTGACCAAGGAGCATTGGCATCTACAGGAGTGTTGTTATCTGCATAGTCCTTGACAGAGTGCATTTACTGGGTTTAGGCAGTGCTCAATACTTGCCATTAATACTGTTTATGCAGTGGAGAAGGGCTCTAGCAGGTAGATATTTTCCATCCGGAAACATCATACCAAGAATGTAGCTGGCCATCCCTACTCCTGTACTGTCATTTGAGGTCCCCACGCTTTTTAATTGGTTAGGTTTTAGTTCACTATGAATAATTAAAGGCATCTAAATAACATGTCGAACAGTCCTCATGTAATCAGATGCTCTGAGTCACCTTTTGGAGTGCCTCAAAGCTGAATAACCTCTGTCAATATCCATCCCTCCCTACTGGTTATAGAAGAAAGCTAGTGCAAATAGAATACAAAAACAAAACAAACAAAAACAAAAAACAAAACAAAACAAACAAACCAACAAACAAAAACACTTTGTTTTAGATCTCAAGGTAAACTTCCTGCTCTGTTCTACTTCAGCCTGACACCTTGTCAAAAGGTTCTGTGATGTCCTTCTCAGAGTATTACTCGCTTACAAGAGCAACTCCTCTGTCTGGAGTTTTTTACTCTTAAGGATAATAGAAAAGTCAAAGGTGCACACTGAATTTCAGCAAGACATATTGTCCTTCTTTCCAGTCTAAGACTTGATAAAACTTTGGCTTTTTTGTCTTCAAGAGCTGTCAGTGTTGTGGTTACAAGGGAGTGGAAATAGAAGTGCTTAAATACACTCTATATTTTCTTACTGGTTCCATGATATTGGACCACTTAATAATAAACTGTTACTCCTGCATCCAGATGGTTTTCCCCTATGATGTTGTTTCCAAAACTTCTCAGTCTGTATCTCTGACTTCACTTCATCTGCTGTCTCTCATCTGCCCACACTTTAATCATTTATGACAAAACTTTCTTCTATATCCTGCGTCCACAGGATACCTCCATGCTTTGTATGTTGTCCATGGATGGCACAGGATGTCCATGGGTTGTACTTCATCATGCATTTCTAGGCTCACCTTGTTACGAGTTATGACAGCAAAGAAATACATGGAATTTATTATTAATATTATTATTATTATTATTATTATTTATTTATTTATTTATTTATTTATTTATTTTTAATCACAGGTCTAGAGTGCCGAGAACAGACTAGGACAGAAAAGGAAGAATAAAATAACTACTAATATTAAAAAATAAATAATTCTAAATAGGATTTTTCCAGTTATCTGATACTTTCAAAAATCTGACTGAATACAGCACTGGTCTAAATTTGTTTTCAAGGAGCAACTTGGAAAATTGTATCATTTTAATGTCAAAGGATTAATATGTGGGGGTGTCAGGTATTGAACTAAATTTAGCTGGAGACCAGACCTGTTAAAAATAATGCCAAAGTTAAAAAATTATTAACCCTATGAGCTTTTACTCACAGCACATCAATAAGTGTTCAAGTTACAGTACAGGCAAAACATAACAGACACACTTGAGAACACACTCGTACACTTTGAGTCTTCTTTAAGTTATTACAGACCCAGTTTTCTGACATCCAAACACTCACCACTTCAGGTAGGTACTGTGGTGCTTCTCCTCTATCTTTTTTTCTTAAGACCCTACACTTCCCTCTCTTTCACTGGTCACAGCATGCATCATCTTAACCCATACTTTGTCCTACTTCCTGCTGCCAGCTACTCCTGAACAAAACACTGGGTGCTGAATTCCTGCAGTACTCTGCCATTCGCTTCCCAGGCAGCTCCTGGTATGGCTGCCAGCACACTCCGGCAGAGCGGAAATATGAGTGAATAACAGGGGTCAGCACAGCCTCATCTCCATGGTGTAAGACAGTGCCTTTGCACAGAACCCTGGTGGCTGTCTTTCAGCATCAGTCCCCAGCCATCTGCATACTTCTTGGAGTACCTGCTCTGTAAGGTATGAATTTACTGCTGATCTCTGCAAATAAATATGTCCTAACTGAAACCATAAATAATAAACAAAATGCAGTTCCCCAATCCAATACAGCTTCTATTAACAATTACCTGCAGCAGTTCAGGAGCACACGTGTCTGACTGGTGATGTGCAGGTTAGCAAGAGCAATTCATTTAGCACTAAGGGCAATGTAGGTCACCTATAATACTTGGAAAGCAGGCAGAGAAACAAAAAGAAGAGATATACAAGAGATATAGAAAGAGATATAGATTCTCAAACCAATTGTAAGGAGCCAGGCTGGACTGTTTCTTTTTTGATTGCATTTTATATTTAGGGTTCTTTGTATGTTACCACTGACTGCCCATTGCCTGCCTACAGATTGTGGTTGTCCCTGCTGGTCACAGGCATATTTGATCAGTGATCCTTGTTTGTTATTATGGCCATGCATAAAATCTACACTACAGCTACATTTTTGACACAAAAATAAGATGTATGGAAAAGCAGCTATAGATATGGATAGCTTTACAGCTTGCACTTGCCATTTTCTGGGGAAGCCAAGGTCCTGTTTCACCAAGTTTGCTGTGACACAATAAAAGCATCTCAGCTTAGACAGAGCAACCTTGTCTCCCAGGCTGAAGGCAGTAATCTTCCATGGCTGGAGCATACAACCAGATAATCTTTTGCAAATATCTCTTCAACAGCATTATGTACAAAAAAATAAATAAATAAATAAAAATAATAAAAAAAAAATAAAAATCTTTAATGCATTTTTTTTGTTGTTTTCATATGATTTATTTCCAGTTAGAAAGTATTAAAATATTCCCATTGCTATATTCTGAAAGTACATGCAACACAACTAACGGCATAGCTATGCGTCTGAACAGGGGAGAAAATACTCATTTTATAGAAGAGTGTGGATATATTTTGAGCAAGGTAAAATTATATCTGTATATTTTGGGGGGAATTCAATACTAATCTCATCTGGTCCTGATGTTTTACTAAAATTAGATCATCAATTACTGTCTGTGTTTCCTCATGAGGTAATGTTTTATTTAAATTGTTCCTGATTTCTTCTGACAGTTTAAGCAAATGTAATTTTCATAAAAAGGACTTTTACTGCTTTCAGTTTCTTTGCTCAATATGTAATTTCTAATAGATTTTTTGAGGCACTAGTGATTTCTCTATTTTTATCTCTCTCTTATGCATAATATAGCACCTCAAACCTTTGCTTTCTTGATTTGTGATTAAATGTGGTATTAGTCATCTAGATTACTGCAAATTCAGGAAGTCTTTGTAGATATAGATATATATCTATGTATATATCTTGACTACTTCACCTCTTTTCCAAGGAAAACAAATTACTGTTTTATTTCCCAGCTCAAGTAAAGACAGCGCTGTGGTTAAAATTAACAGTTCCCTTAAAGAATGGCTTATGAATTAAGTTGAGCATCTCCTAGCAGTCCCTTTCTCTGGTACCTAACCTTACAAACTGTCCACAAAATTTGTGGTACTTTCCACAAAGTTTGTGCACACTTAAAGATTGAAGATGCAAAGCCCAAGAAATAAGAAAGATCTTTGTGCTGGTATTCTTCTTAATTATCACAGACTTGGTTTCCAAATGAGAACAGAAGCGCAGTCATTTCAATGATGAAAGCATGATGAAAGCAGACCTAAAACAAGTGGATTTATGTATTGTTTTCCTCTCAGCTTTCAAATATAATTACAGCAATAATTTTTACCACATAGTGAATACAAGAAATTCATTATGGTGCCTGCCAATAGCTTATGCTCCAGAAAAGACCAGAATTCAGGACTTTTAAAAGCCTATTTATCATACACTTGGTTACACTGTGGGAAAACACTATCCTAATACACTGCAGCATTATCCATTTGAACTGTAGAGAAACTTTCACTACAGAAAAGACTAAAATAATTGGAACAAAAAAACAAATGGCAGAATTGTATGAATAGAAAACAAGAAAAAAACAAACAAACAAACAAACAAAAAACAGGAAGCAAGGAGACAATCTGATGGCATCATCTATGAAAATTCCCTCCTGGTTCAGAAGGTAAGAGACAAGCACTAAAATTCAAAAACATTTGATATAAATACAACATAAAACTAGTGATAGAGATCATCTCCTGCTGATCAAATATGTTCTGCAATA